GCAAACTCTGAGTATTTATAGTCATTTCAATCAATCCTCCTTATTATTATTATTTATTATTGCTATTCGTACTATGTTTTATGAACAGGCATTGGATAGTGATACAGCTATGAACAGGACAGATGTGGCCTTGCCCTCATGGAGCACACAGTCAAGCCACAATGAGATACCAATACACACCTACAAAATGACTAAAAACAAAAAGATTGACAGACACAAATGTTGGTGATGATGTGGAGAAAGAGAAACACCAATAAAAATACATATACATGTGCACCAAAGACATGTAGAAGAAGGTTTATAGCAGCGTTACTTGTGAAGTCCCAAACTGGAAACAACCCAAATATCCATTAGCAGTAGGATGAAGATATAAACGCTGGTATACTTATACAATGGTAAACTATACAGTAATGAAAATAAATGAATTACTGCTACCCAAAACAGATGGCTAAATCTCACAAATAGAGTGTTAACCGAAAGAAGCCAGACTCTAAAGAATACATGCTGTGTGATTCCATTTAGATAACATTTTAAAATAGACAAAACTACTCTATGATGTTAAAAGTCAAAATAATGTTTTCCTTTGAGGAGAAAGGGGGTAGAGCAACTGGGAGGGAAGAGGTGGGGAAGGTCTGGGATGCTGGTTATGCTTTATTCTTTGACCTGGATGGTAATAATTGTGATAATTCATCAAGCTGTACACTTATGATTTGTGTGCTTTTATATGTGTGACATTAAAAGGCTTTTCAAACATTTAGTATGTAAATTTTTGCATATTTTTATATCAATTTTCTTTCCTTTTTTTTTTTGAGGAAGATTGGCCCTGCGCTAACATCTGTTGTCAACCTTCCTCTTTTTCTTTTCTTCTCCCCAAAGCCTCAGTACATAGTTGTATATCATAGTTGTAGAGTTGTAGCTCTTCTATATGGGACGTGCCTCAGCATGGCTTGACGAGCAGTGAGTAGGTCCGCGCCCAGGATCTGAACCTGCAAACCCCGGGCCACCGATGTGGAATGTGCAAACTTAACCACTACGCCACCGGGCCGGCCCCTATATCAATTTTATTACCCACCTTTTGACAAATGGACCACTTAGGTTGATTTAACTTGATAAACTTAAGGGTTAAACTTCTCATTTTTCTCTTCCTTTTCCATAAAATTTTTTGGTGTATTAGAAAAGGGGAAAACATGAAGGCAAAAACAAATGGATGGGAAACTGAACTCCTTTTTCCAGTTGGTCCTATTACTCTTAAGAATTTCGGTAACTGAAAGGGTTTTCTCTCTTTACCTCTTTGTTTCCTTTACTTAGATATTTTATTTTTCTACCAGGGTTGTCAAAAGAAATGTAATACTATTATAATAATTTTGTTAGCATAAGTAATTTTTTTTAGCTTTCCCAGCCATTTATATACATATTGATGTTTCAAATCCTTTTTAGTTGCAGGCAAAGAATATATTAAAAATTTAAAAATAAAAAGGGGATGATTTTTCACACATTTTCTCAGCAAAATTTGCTGAAATCACTTCAGGTTAATAAGGAAAGCAGCAGGTCCATTTATGACAGCATATGATAATGTCATCTGTGTGTTAACCAAGCACTTTAGTCTGTAGGCCAGAGCGTTTACTGGGAAGGAGGTGTATGGTTTACATTGTAGACCCAAGAAAACATTATCTAGACTAATAAGTCTATCTTATCGCATATCTAACCATTAAATGCCATATAATTTCCAGTGTATTGAAATGTGTCTGATTTAAACCAATTTATAGAGAAGACCTATTAATTAATTCACTCATTCAACTTTTATTGAAATGTGCTAGGAAATAGTATTCTGGTATGAATTATAGAAAGGAAATGGTCTATTTGGTAGAGAAATTATTGTGACCTGTCGCAATCAGAATCAAAACAAAGTCCAGGGCCGGCCCCGTGGCTTAGCGGTTAAGTGCACGCGCTCCGCTTACTGGCAGCCCGGGTTCGGATCCCAGGCAGGCAAGGACGCACCGCTTCTCCGGCCATGCTGAGGCCGCGTCCCACATACAGCAACTAGAAGGATGTGCAACTATGACATACAACTATCTACTGGTGCTTTGGGGGGAAAAAAGGAGGAGGACTGGCAATAGATGTTAGCTCAGAGCCGGTCTTCCTCAGCAAAAAGAGGAGGATTAGCACGGATGTTAGCTCAGGGCTG